GCGCGCCGAATTTGCGGAAAAAACTGCACGATCCTCTTGTCGGTGGCGCCATGTACGTGCCGATCACGGTCTCGCTGGCCCTGCTTCAGCCTCGCTCGCCAGCCCTCGCCTCGCCGCCGGCATGGACCGCTTCGCCTCGCATAGCTCGGCCGGCGGTCATGCTGGCCGCGCCGCGCGACGACAGCCCCTCCTCGCTCTTCTCGCCAGAGAGCTGGACTGAGAAGGGCTTCGACGGCGTCCAGCGGCTGCCTGCCGCCTGCCGCGCGGCGGAGGCGACGACGGCCGAGGCGGAGCACCTCGCGCTCGCCTTCCTCTCTCAGGACGCCGACTCCGTCGTCGCTCGCACCCTCTCCAAGGCAGGCTCCTCCGCGGCTTCGCTCAAGCGGCAGTTTGAAGACTTCAGCGCTCGGCAGCCCAAGGAGCAAGGTGAAGGGCGCGGCGCCGGAGCAGCCGTCGGTCGGCGCGTCGCTGCTCGCGCTGGTGCGCGGCGCCAACAACGAGCGAGCCGCGCTCGGCGACGAGTTCCTCTCCGGGTGACGCCGCGGCCGGAAAAAATAGTTCGCCGCCTTGACCGGTGCGCCGGTCTCGGAAGCGCCCATGTGAACACAAATTTTTTTTTCATGATGGAGACTACAGGCACAGACAGAGAAAGAGAAAGAGAAAGAGAGAGAGAGAGAGAGAGAGAGAGAGAGAGAGAGAGAGAGAGAGAGAGAGAGAGAGAGAGAGAGAGAGAGAGAGAGAGAGAGAGAGAGAGAGAGAGAAACAGAGAGTTTATGAGAGAGAGAGAGAGAAACGGAGAGTTTACACAAAAAGACAGAGCGAGACAGGCACAAACAGAAACAGACACACAGAGAGAGAGAGACTAACGAAGAAAAAAGAAAGAAAGAAAACAGACCACCAAACAGGGCGTACGGGGTAGCCGTCACTTTCCCGCCTCGAAAGGGCGGGGCTGTCCCGGAAAGTGAGAAACGCCGGGCAGCGTGACGCATTACTGAACCCTCCCATACGTGTTTGGGCTCCTCCTTCGCTGTCCCATCTCCTCATCTCTTTCCCGCCTGGGCGGGGCAGCGGGTGGGCGCGCGGTGCGGCGTGGCGTGGCGTGTGAGTTTTGCGACTGCGACGACGGACCGCTCGCAAGGGACCATTGGGTTTGTACTATTAACAACGAAGGCTTGACCGGTGCGCCGGTCTCGGAAGGGGCTTTTCCTTTTTTTGGCGATGGAAGTACAAGTGCGCGCACTAAATGATTTTCGGCCGGCCGCAGGTCGGGCTGGACGCGGCTGTTTCGGCCGGCGGTCGGGGTCGGACACTGGGGTGGCGATGGCGACGGCGAAATGGTTTAGGATAGAGGAGACGCGCAGCTGTCCGGATCGCCTGCGGCATCTGAGAGGTAGCTAGCCCCAGATGCCCCGTTTGCCCCACTGCGGCGCCCCGCGCTCGTGCCGGCGTGCAAGTGGGTACAATGCACCCCTTCGGCTGCTCGCGGCCCGGAACGCATCGGGAGAGATTCATTCGTATACGCCAAGGGCGTGCTCAGATGGCACGTAGTAGTGTAACTGAGCGCGTGGCCACTCTCCACCCTACTTTGCGGGCTAGTAGGTGCGCACTTGCCCAGCGGCCGGAGGCTCAAGCGGCGCGAGGGGTGTGACGACGGCGGCACCTCAAGGGTCGCGGCGCGACGAGCGGAGACGCAGGCGCGCCGGTGCTGCAGCCTCACGCTATGATAGCCTCACCCGTCCTGGGCCCTCCACACGGTTCTTACCCCCGAAATATGCCTACAGGTCTCTGACTCGTCGCGGCGCGACAACTCCACATACACTCGCCTTCATTCTCCCCCTCCCTAGCCGGCGCGCGGGAGTCGAGCCACATGACGACCGCCCATCTCTTGTGCAAGCGTGATCACGCGCTGCTGCACTGGCTGCTGCTGCACTGGCTGCTGCTGCACCTGCGCCGGGGCGCGAGTAAACCCCTGCCAAGGCTGCGGGTGCGGCCGCGGCCGCAGTGGTGTAGGCAGACAATGATGATGCCGCGCGGGCGGAGTGGCGGACGCGAGGACGCTGCCGTCAGACCAGGGGTTGCTATCATACGCAAGCACGAGCCGTCGGTGACGCGGCGGCGTGCACACCGTTTGGCAGCTGTGCTTAGCGCGAAAACCCTGCCCGTGTGTCGGATGCGTCCAAACTTGTAGCGCTACATCTTTGGACACACCCCGGCGGGCGCTTTCGAGGCGACCGGCAGCATTTTTTCTACGCCACATGGACCTGTTTTGCGGCACGATATAGCTGGGCTGCAACATACGTGTACCTACACTCGACTGCAACGGCGCGCAGCGCCGAAGAAAATTTTGGGGCTTCTCGAGCGGCGGCCGGTGTGGACGCCATTGTTTCGCAGCTCGGTCGGGGGGGGCCGCCCCTGCGTTTCGCTGCGGTCGGTCGAAAATCATTTAGTGCGCGCACTTGTAACGCACATTCCCCATGCTTTCCGAACGCGACCGGCCACCTCACATCCCGCACGAGCAGCTCCCGGCGACCGTCGGCACGCTGAGCGTCGCGCTGGTCCGCTCCAACGAGAGCCTCCGGGCTGCGCACACGCTCCTCGCCCGGCTGCAGTCCGAGGCGGAGGCCGTCGACGCCGAGCGAACAGCCCTGAAATCCGAGGCGGCAAAGCTGCGATCCGCGCTGGTGGAGCGGCAGCGTGAGCTCGGCGCCGCGCACGCGCGCTCCTCCGCCGCGGTCGAGGCTGTCGCGGCCGCCGAAGGGCGCGCAACTCGCGCCGAGGCTGCGGCGGTGGCGGCGCAGCGAGCGTGCAGGCTCGAGGCAGATAGGGCGTGGACGGCGTCGGAGCGAGAGGCCTCCGCGGCGGCGGCGGCCGAAGAGCGGCACCGGCTCGCCGAGGCGGCCGCAGCCACGGCCCAAGCGGCGGCCGAGAAGCGGTGCCAAATCTCCGAGGCGGCGGCCGCCGCTGCCAACGTCGCGGCGGAGGAGCGCTGCCAGGCGGCCGAGGCGGCCGAGGCGGCCGCGGAGCGGCGCGGCACGGCGGCGGCGCTCTCGCTCGCGTCTGAGATGGCGGCGATGGAGGCGCGCGTGCAGGACATGGCGAGGACGATCGCGTCCGAACGCAGCAGCCTGAGCGGCTTCGCGCGCGCGGCCGACTCAGAGCTGAAGGAGGCACGGGCGAGGGCGGTGGAGGCGGCCGAGGCGGTGGGGGCGGCCGAGGCGGCAGCAAAGGACGCGGCGGCGGCGACGCGCGAGCGCGAGGCGGCGGCGGCGGCGCGGACGCGAGAGCGGGAGGCGGCCTTGGAGGCGGCGGTTGCGGAGGCCGTGGCCGAGCGTGAGGCGGCCGTCGCTGCGGCGAGGGCCGAGGCGGCGGCGGACAAGGAGGCGGCCCTCGAGGCGGCGAGGGCGGCGGCGGCGGCGGAGCGGGAGGCGGAAGTCACTGCGGCGGTGGCGGCGGCGGTGACTGCGGCTGCGGAGCAGCAGTACAGTGAGGCGGCGTCGGCAGAGGCGGCGCACGCGACGGCGCTAGAGGCGGCCGCTGCGAGGCACGCGCAGGAGCGGGAGGCGGCGGTGCGGGCGTGCGAGTCGAAGCTCGCGAGGTTGGAGGCCGTGGTGCATGAGCTCGAGGCGGCGAGGGACGCGGCGCTGCTCGAGCTCGAGGCGAGATCTCGCCGAGATTGAGCGAGATGTGGCCGAGAGAAGGCGCCGAGCGGGTCAGGTGGCGGGTCGTCCGGTCCCCTGCGTGGAGGCAGCCACACACGCTCAAGTCGCACACAAAAGCACAGCCCACGGCCCCGGTCGCAACCACACGGCAGTGGAGCGCGGGGCCGACAGAGTACGGCAGTCACGCGTGCAACGCCGGGTCCCAGGGAGGGCCAGCTTGCGTGCGAATCACCCGCCCCCCTTGACCGCGGCAGGAGCGGCACCGGGCAGCGCGGGAGGAGCAGCGAGCGCGCCTGCTGGCGAGGGGCGAGGCGCTCGCACAACTCGTCGCGACGCGTCGCCACGGGCGCGCTCGCGCGGCGGCCTTTTGCGCATGGCGGCGCGCGTGCGTCGCTGCGACCCTGGCGACGGTGCGGCAAAAGGCGGACGAGGCGGCGGCGGAGGCGGAGAG